GGCTAAGGTCACCTTAGGCTGAGGCCATGCGCAGTAGGCGTGGCATGCGCGGGCGTGCTTGCGTGCGACCCTCCCCAAAGTAAAAAAGTGCCGGATTGTTTTTGAAATTGTTGTTGATTATACTGTTAATTAGATGTTAATTACAGGTTTTATTTGGTTGAGACTCTTCGGAAACGAGGTCATTTCGACGAGAATGAGGACTGTTCAACTGGTGAACATGGAATCACGATGACGACGCATCATTCAATCGACAATGTCAAGAATAATCCATCATTTGGTAATAACGATAATCCTTTTAAAGAAACAAGCTTAATTGATATGAGTGAATCTCATCAACAACAACAGCAGCTGCTGCCAGATGATCACCGTAAAGTGGCAAATATTATTGTTCCATCTGCGCCACTAATCTACGATGATTCGACATTGTATAGTAATACTAATGATAATAATAATAATAATAGTGAAAACAGTATCGCAGGTGGACGTGAAGTTAGTTAGTTTTGACTTTATTTGTTTATATATTTGTTTATTCATTTATTTAGTTGTATAATTAATGGTTTCAGAGGAACGAGAGAAGTGCAGTTGTTAATTGGGTAGGAACGCATAATAAAGATAATAATTGTGAAATGAAATCAAATAAAATACAACGAAAATATAACTCATTTCATTTGTAATTGACGATTGAGATTTTAAATTGTTGAGCATTTTATGACGACGACTGTTGTGGATTAATATTAAGTTTATTGTTTTTCGTTTAATGATTACTTGCGGTAATAATGTTATTACGGATACGAATCGCTTGAAGTGTTCTGTATATTAGGTTGATGCGATTAGTTTTGAATAATATTTATTCATTTGTTTATTTATTATCATTATATTTAATGTTTTACTTACTGACAAGTTCATCAATTTTAAGTTTTATTAAAATCACATATTGCATAATATTCCCAACCTGCTACTGCATATTTCGTTTTGAATTTTTTTATCTGATCATGTCTTATCCTATCAATTTCATTTTTCCCGATACTGTGATAATAACATTTTAAAAAATGATTTATTAAATTCAATGGTTATATTAATAATAACAGTGATTATATTCAAGCTGAATAAGTGCATAATATTTATTATTATTTTTATTGTCAGATGTATATATAATAGTGTAATGACGATGTGATATAATGATAACATTGTATTATTATTATTATGTTATAATAGTAATGTTGATGTTATTGTATGTCAAGTTGAGTTGAGTTGATTTAATGCCGCCTGTTGTGTATTTATTATCGCGCATTCATAATACCTATTACGGTTCAGGCTGAGGTTAGCCTGCAAAGCTGTAGCTTTGCCCAGAATAATAGTTGTTGCAGTGAATGAGTTTGAGATGATTTGATGGCATGGTGGAGATGATTTGCATCTGGTTATGGTATGGTCAACGTGAGCGATGTTGAGATGAGGTATATGATTGATTTTATGTATAAGTTATGATTGATTGTTATTGTTCATGTTATTATGATCGTATGTTGATATTATGTAAGCGTTAGCGTCGTCGTATCAATGATGAATGAAGTACGAATAAAGTTGTGGTGATCATCAGACAAATTAACTGATTAACTGACTTACTTGTCAGTTAGTTTTTATGATCACCGTTGCCATTGTACTGCAGCTAACAACATTAAGCACAAGCAAGCGAAGACGATGTGATGTCCAGAGCAAGAGTGGTGACGTAATGCTTGAATGATATTTCAGTTTAGTAGCAAATTGACGTCGTCTGTCAGTCATTTTGGGTAGATTCGGGTGATGACTGTTTGAGCTGGCTGCATAGTTGATGGAAGTTTTCGAATGGATCGATGCTTGTTCTGCTGGATGAAATGAATTAATTACGGAAGTATAAATTACGCAACTGATACGGCCAACAACGACATACATCGGTCTGCAACAACTTTAGTTGCAAATTGTAAGTATGTAAGTTATAATTGATGATGAAGTGCAATTGATTTATGTGCTGTATCTTATTCAGTCTCTCTCATGTCTTTCAGAAGTCTGTCTTCTTTGATTGGCATCTTAAGATTGCGCATTTGAGAATGATACGATTCAAAAAACAATGGAATTAGAAGAATATTGATAAAGATGAGTGAAGCAGTAGTTGAGTGAATGTTTGGCGTGATTGATTTTACTATTAATAGGAGGAGAATAGTTTTGGATATTGGTAATGCAGGCAGGCAGGCAGGCAGGCAAGCGATATGATGTAAGGTGGTGTGATACTGATGGATGGTGGGTGGTTTGAAATAGAAGGAAGGGTGCATGTAAAGAATTTAGAAATGTATTTGAATTGTTCACGAATCATTACCTTTTATAAGTGGTGTGTGCTAGTGGTCGTGGGTAATAGTAGTAGTGTTATGATAGTTCATTGTGATGCCATTGTTGATGTTGGTGGTGAACGATTGAGAATTTGGGTGGTGAAATTGATTTGGTTTTTTGGGTTTGGTTTGATTGAATTAATTAATTGCCTTGCCTTCGATACTGATAATTCGAAATTGGAGTGGTCATTTTGCGATGGTGATTATGATGTGTAACTGATGTTGAGCATTTAAAGTGAGTTGTTTGATTTTATTGAGTAACGAACGCAATTTTTGGATGTCAGTGAATATTATGTATTCATAAAAGAAATGTGACAGACAGCAGAAGTATTATAATTAAACGATAATGTCGTCGTAATATGAGTGTTGTATAGGTATATGGATGATATCGATGAGGATTTCTCTCTATGAGAATTTAATTCATTTATTCAAATACTCTGATCTGATCTGATGAAGATTGAGTAAATTCAAAGGATTAGTTGCATTTTTGCTTGTGTATGATCAGGTTATAGATCATCGAATGGAATGATTAATCGAGTCTTTAAATGAATGCTTTAAAAATAGTAAGTTTAAGAGTAGTGAGCGGGCGCATTTGTTAAGTTTAAATGAATGAATACTGATCGTGAGCGAGAACGTCGTTGCATAATATTATGCAAGAGTAATGTGAGGAGCCGCTTACGATGATTTGGCTATTTTATTTTATTTGTAGTATTCGAACTAGGCATAAACTTTTTAAATGAGTAGTATTAAGTATATAGTAGTTAACTGAGAAGATTTATTGATTTGCTGCTTGAACATTGAATTTTGAGAGTTTGAGTGAATTCCGGTGCTGCTGGCTAATTATTATTGTACCGCGCACACATTGCTCGGAGAATTGGTTAAGCAAACGTTCGACTAGGACTAGATTGATTGCTCTTCATAAATATCTTGATATTTCTAAAACAATTCTATTCTTTCTCATCATCACACATAATATAACTTACTCGGTTAGGATTGGGTAAAGGAAATGAAGTGTTTTGTTAGCTAAGCTATATGATATGCCTATCTAGCTACGGCTACGTAGCATTTGCCATTGGTTTGTTTTAATAGTTGCATATTACTTGTTACCTTATTTTGTGCGTATCCTCGTGGCTAGTGATTTTAACTGAAGTGAGCGTTTTGCAGTAGAAATAAGTTTGTTGGAAGACTAGTTTGTGTATAGGTAATAATTTATTTATAAATAGTTTTGGACTGAGTATCGCAAGCAGCAGTTAGTTATTTTATAGGAGTTTAAGTAGTATATCCAGTAAGATCTTATTAGATAAACAGACAATAAATAATAACTGTTTGGTAGTAGATTGATTAAATGAGGATTGTTGTGGCAGGAGAGCACATGGCAAGGATGCATGCCAAACAAGAAAGAAGCAAGCATTCAATTGATTGAGCGACCTTGCGACCTTTTGAGTTTTTTGTTTGATTTGATGTTGGTTGGATAAGTGGAAATGGAAATCGTAGTTGATTTATGAGTTATGAGTAAGGAAGCAGGTGGATTGATAAGTGACTATATATGGACTTGTGAGTAGATTTATGAGATAGGAGTGCTCAGAGTTGATCTTGTTCTAGAGTTTCGCCGCCGCTTGAATGGCCGCTTTCCACTTGGCCATGTCATGTTTTATTACTTGCACAAATTACCATTTTACTGCTGTCATAGTCTCTGAACTACCGCGCATGTTTTGATCCATCCACGCATCCACTTTTGCATTCAACGTCTGATCATGTGTAGATTCATTTGTTTATGCAGCATATGCAACCACAGGTAATTACGATTTGTGTTAGTGTATAATATAAAATGTTATTTTATGGTTTAGTTTACGGCGGTTTACAGCTTAATGTCGGTTTTGACATTAATGTTATCTTAGTTGTTGTAGTAATGACGATAAAATAAGCACAGAAGTCATTGATGGTGAGATATAATGCCACATTTGATTACTTGTTGTTGACTGATTTAGCAGAGAGTTGGTTGGAGTGCGGAAGGTGGTTAATGTTTGACCTTTAGCGGGTTTTACTGCTTCTGCCATGATTGTAAGTGCTCGAATTTAGTGAAAATTGATCATTTACAGACGCTTGGATAAATAAATGGATGATGCTTGCTTGGATCGAAAAAGGCAACGAAGATTAGTGTGTGAATGGATTGTTGATGGATTAGTTGACTACGTGACGGCTGATTTAGATAGATAACTGTGTAAGTGTATTGTTATCAAAGAGTATCGACAACGATCGTGAAATCGCGAATTTAAAGAAATTCAACTGATAATAACAAACGAACAAACTTGGAAGTTAAGATTAAGGTTACTACTGTTTTTGCTTGAGTACACTTCGTTGGTGGTGTTCATTCGACTGTCACGTTGAGTTTTTTTTTGTAAATTCGGATGGACGGACGGACATATTTACATGCATGCTCTAATTAGATTTGTAGAAAAATTAGACCACAAGTTGTTCTATTAGCTTATTGTTAGCCATTAGTGTGTGAAGACTGAAGGTGGCTTATATCTTTCAAGTGCAATTTGCTTGAAGCATTTGATGAGTAGTGATCACTGGCGATTTGTTCATGAATTATTATTTTTTGCATCGTATTTTGTACGACGGAATGCTCTGATTGAGTGGTATTTTTGTTTGATTCAACTTACGAATGAATACAAATACTGCATTACGGGTAGATAATAAATGATATACAAGTGAAGAAGTCGGTCTTTTGATATTATATTTGTTATGTTTGTTTTAGTAATGGTAAAGGTGATGCTGATGGTATTTGTTTAATATTGTTGTAGAGTATTTATTTGATTTTGATGGGGTTAGAGGTTAATGAAAGGCGGGAATGAAATGAAACGAAGAGAGGGGATATGAACAGTGGATAGGATAGATAGGTAGGTAGATAGATAGATAGATAGACAGATGGATAGATATTGTAAGTGGATGAGCACATCAACTGAGTCGAATCCAGCCAGTTCGGTCTTGTCTTGCATTGACCAATTCAGTTTCGTTTACATGAGGATTTATTTAATCGAAAGAATTTAAATTCTTATGAAGGTGGAGAAGAGAAATGCGTAGCAATAAACTTACTGCGTTATTTTTGACTGGCTATAAAACAACAAGACGACAATTGATTTATCTCTTGAACAGGTGTTATAATTAATGAGCAAGATGACACCAACTCGCTTGTTTTGTCATACGATTGAAATGTATGTTTTTATTTTTTGTTTGCTGGACACAAGCAGTAGATCAGCCGTTATTATTATGCTTATTGTGCTATTATTTTGATGTGATCATGTTGCATCGTATAGCATGACCATTCATTCCATCATCTACCATATGGCAAAAGATTATAGGTAGAAGCAAACAGGCCATTGCTAGTAGCTGTTTATAAATGGTAGTAGTTGAATTAGCAAATTGATTGATTGATTGACGACGCATGTATGGATGAATGATAGATCAACTGGCCGAACTGATCTTTTACTTATCAGTTTAATCACTTGATCAGTTTAGCGTCATTATTATTGTTATTACGAGTATAATCACTTTTGATCTTATTGATCTATTATCAGAACTGATTCAGAACTGTTTGTACAGTTATGATCTATGTGTTTATCAGAACATATTACAGATATTGTATTCTATGTTTGTCTGCTATGATCACTTCACAGTGAATTTGCTGTTGTCAGTCAGTTGGTGGGTGGTACCAAGTCATTTGGCGCGCGCTGATTGGTTAATAATTATGATTGAGTGTTAGGTGATGAGACTGCTGTGGTTTCAGTGTAGTTTTGAGGTCAGAGTTGAATGGTTGGTTTGTATTTGAGGAGCGCTGATATGGTGTGATGGCTGTTTGTGTTTTTTGGTGTGGTGCTGCAAATTGTTTAGCGATACGACGAAGGGTGTTTTTATAATGCAATTGTATTGCTAGGTGTTGTGATCGTCGTGCGGTTGGTTGGCCATAAATTTATTGTGTGTACTTGAAGCGGACTTATGGACTTATAATCGAACGACGAGTTAATTGAAATCAGTTATTGGCAGTGGTCAGCCTATTATCGTGATCGTGAGCGATCGATCTCAAATCGACTCGACTTTTATTATTTGGTGGTTTGTTATTTGGTGTTCATAACTCGATGCACTGTTGGCCAAATGGAGTTGGTACGAGACAAATGGAATAATTCGAACGAACGACATTTATTTATATGTTTATTATTATTCTTGACGACGAATTTGCTTGGATCTCTCATGGACGATTGATTGATAATTCAGTGTGAGTGCTTGCTTTGGTTATTTTTTGAAATTTTGATTGCGTAGATTGTTGTTGAACAATAATAATGATAATAATGAGAGTTTAGTAATGATAACAATAATGTGGTGGTTAGCTTGAGTGAGCTTGAATAAGCTTGCTTGGTTGTCATCGTTGTATGTACGCATGCAATATGACTGCTGCTGCATTCAAATGGAACACTGATGTGGCGGTATCAAGACGACGACGGCTTCATGTGGCTGCTGTTTCATCACCAACTTTGTGTTGCTTGACGCTACCGTCGTGTTGCTCACTAGAGCAGTGTTCATCTAGTAGCGCTTCGTCGGAATCGGAATGCTCGTCGATCTGCTCGTCGTTGTGCACTGGCTTAGGCTGTTGTTGTGGCATTAGCAGCAACAGCAACAAGAGATTATTCGGCGGTGACGGCAGTGCTTTATCCGATCGGGATCGGGCTGCTTTCAAGAACAACTGGCAAGCCAGTGCTCATAACCAGCATGGTTGTGCCAGAGTGTGCTGCTGTTTGGATCAGCCAAAAACACCAGCAGCACCGTTATTGCAGCTGGGTGAGTGAATTTAATTTGTTCATTGGAAATTGAGTAGTTCGTGTTCATTCATTCATTTGATTTGTTCTTACGGTTTCCTCTTGTCTCTTGCCTTGCCTTGCCTTTGCCAGTGTCTTCTCTTCATTTCATTTCTAAGAAAAGAACAAACTGGATTATGAATATGAAAGAACTAGCGTAGCGCACAGTTGTATAAGATGACATAAATATTTTGCTATTATAGTTTAAAGGATAGTACTAACAATAAGACTAGTACGAGTAATAATGACACCAGTAATAATAGTATTGCTATTAATGCATGCTATTCAATATTTTACTATACAGTAATAAAACATGGATGGATAGGTGTGATTGTTAAATTGCTGTTACATTCTAATACTATAGGAATAATGAAAGAATAGTAATGGAAAATATGCATTCGCTTGTCATTACTGCTATTGTAGTATTATTATTAGTATGAGTATTATTACTAGTATTAGAATTGTTATTATTAAGATTGTTAATATGATTAGAATAATATTAACATTAGAATTGTTAAGATAGGATTATACATTTTAATGGCTGCTCGTTGTATTCAGATGACTTTGGAGAAAGTATCAGGTAGAAATACATCGTATGCTTTATAAATAAGATGATACATTAAAGATATGTGCTGTAAATGGTATGTATTAATTTATTTATAATAGAATTCAAGTCAAGCAGCGTATTGTATATTTAGGAGTTTATATGGTATGAATAGGCATAATGATACTGGTAATGAGGAGACTTAATATTGAGCATATGAAGAGGGGGAGGAGATATAAGAGGGCAATGAAGGTGTTATTAGAGGTATGGTAAGTGGGTAAGGAGGTAGGTGTTAATTAAATGTGAGAGGAAAGCGAATGGAGATGGGATAACGAATGTAAGGATGATGAGTGCATGAAATCGGGGATAAATTGGGATTTATGATAACCGAACTTGAATAATGGATTTCGAGGGGATTTCTGAATCGGATTTGGGATTTTTAATTTAAGTGTTCTGATGGACGTATGATGAAGTTATTAATTAATCAAGTTATTAATGAAGTTATCAATCGCTTAGGTGGATTATAAAAAATTTGGATGATTGAAGAATAGCAAAGAATAGTTTGTTATTACTTGATATGTTATATTCATATCATATCATATCAAGCAGCGACACATCCATCATTTGCTGTATTGTTGCAATATTACTGATACGCATGCATGGGTTTTAAGTGACGCTTTAGTTAGGGCTGACTGTTATTGTTAGTATGTTCTATAGATGAACTGACTGCGCTGCAGAATAAGCAATAGTAGGACGACGACGAGCTGATTACTAGAGTTGGATTACTATTAGGATTGAGGTGATTTTTTATGCTGATCGAAGGAACATGACCCTTGATATTGGCATTGAACATGAATCAAATCGGATTGCTTGAAGTGATGTGCGAAGATTCAATGTAAATGAAATAATAAGTTAAGGAGTGAATGGTCAATACTGAGCGAATGAATGAATTGTTTTTGTTGTGTTCGATGTTTGCTTTAATTACTTACGTGTGCATCAGATGGTGGTGGATGGCTTAGGCTTAAGTGAGATTTATTCATTTATTTATTAGTTAGTGTGTATGTATTTAATTATTTGTTTGATTAGTGCTGGCTGGCGTTATTTACTTGTTTAGTGTTTGTTAGACGAGAGATTGAATAGTTGAATTGAATATTCATTTGGTTATTTGAATTGTACTGAATGAACGACGAGCAGCTTAGGTGGTCGCTATCTGCCTTCGACTGTGACTGTCTTCCCTTCATCTATCTCTGTGTTCGTAGTCGTCGTCGTGGTCACTCCCGGGAATATTAAACTCTAATTATGCACCGAGTGAACCTTATTGAGCATTTAATTGCTGGAATGAAACAAAATTCAGTTTGAGGTCTTAACAGAGGAAATCACGTGGGATATTTAAAGAGTAATGAAAAGTATTGATGTGTATGTATAATAGATAAGATATTATGCATGACGGTATGGGGTTTTAGTTAACAGATTCAGTGTGTAGTCCGCTGATTAGAGAAGGTTTTTGAAGAGTGAAGTTTTTTTATGAATAATTTTACATGGTCTGATGTGGTGGTGGTGGTGGTGGTAGTAGTTGTTTGTGTATAAGTATGTATGTATGTATGTTTATGTGGTGTATAAGCAAGCATATAACAGAGGAATGAATATTAATTGAAAATAAAACTCACTTCAGTATGATAGGATTGAATAAAATTTAATGGCATATAGTGATAATGCAGTAGATTATAAATAGCATAATTTGACGACGTGAAAGGTTTACTTTGTAATGCGATATTGTGTTTGAAATGTTATAAATGCATAGCGAAGCGGCGAACATTTTGCATGTGTTGTGATGATTAGATGCGCTTATATTGGATTGGATTGGATTTTAATCATAAATATCAGAAATCATTATTATTATTATTATTATATGATGGATGAACATTATTCTATCATCTATTGCACTTAAGTGTATTGAATTGTTGGAAATTTGACGTGAAAGGTTGACTTTGATTTGATTTGATTTGAATCGTTCATGCTTTAATAATTGTTGTTGTTGGTGGAGAAGAGGAACTGGTTTTCTTTGCATACGACGACGAAATGAGGAATAGTTTTTTGGTGTTACTGTTAGCATTGGTACATAACGGAATGTTGCTGAGCTGAAGTTGGCGCGAGGGCCACTGAAGAAATCATTCGGCGATGGAGTCTCATCGAAATCTGGAGTCTGCGTAGTTTGGTGGCCTAGAATGCGCAAATTTATGCTGGCTCTTGCCAGGCATTTGGTATTCGATAGTCGATCTGTTTTTTGAGGTTGAAATTTTAAAAGAGTGTTGGAAATAAATTGAAATTGTTAATTTCACGTTATACATAAATAGATTAAGCGAAAACATGTGCGCAAATACGATTTGTATCAATAGCATTGTTATTATTATTATTATTGTTATTAGTAGTATGATTGGTAGAGTTATTATTATAATTGTTATTATTATAACGATATTATCATGACAATATGGTAATGAGCATTTGAAATTGCATATAGATTGAGAATGCGTATGTACTGGATCAGTTCAGATCAGATCAGATCAACGGAACTCATTAGCATAAGTGATCGATAGTTTCAGTTGGATAATATTTATTTATAATGATAACAATAGCAATATCTTCTCACTGCTATCAACAATCTGTCTAAAATGAAACATGCTCTGTGCGGCTGATTTCATATTTGTAGATATAATAGATATTGATTGATAGCTGAACTGTGAAGCTGCTACGTTATCTGAGATATCCAGTTCAGTGGGTGTGTTAACGGTTATGGTGTGATTTGATTTATTGGGTGTTTGTTGATGTGCGCTTGATATAGATACTACTGATGGGGTGATATGTGATCGATCAGTCTATCGAATTTGAATCATTCACATTTGAATCATCATATCCGATATTTTAACCGTCTCGGCGAGATCTTTCTTGAGTACTTTGATGGATATGGATGTGCTTGTGTGAGTGAGTCATTGAAATTGTTGTTTTGGTTGAGGAACGGCGGGGGGGGGATTGATTTGCGAGAGTTATTGATGGAACGGAGGATGTTAACACAATGAATGATGGTTATAAATTGATGAATTGAAAAGAAGGACTAGGACAAACTACAGTTGGACAAACTATATCTTAAATGGTGACTGACACAAGAAGTAGAAACAGAAGGGGAAAACCGAGACGAGACGAGACGAGCTTGTGCTTAGGTGTTAGGAGGGCGTTGAGTATTTAGTTATTATAGTAAGTAATTCATTACAAATTTTGGTGGTGGATGGTTGGGTTGGTTTATTTTGGAGGTATTTATCATCTCATCTTATTGCATTAATTACATATTCATCACGTTCCTTAGATGATTGATCCAATTGATTTATGCTTTTGTATATCCATCCGTTGTGTTCTATCAGAAGAAGATGATACAGCTGCATGCATACGGTATATTGTATGATTCGTCTCTATAGCAAGACAATGGGTATTTATTTACGGTTTATGGCATGTTCAGTTAGGATTACATGAAATCACTTAAGTTGTATCAAATCAGTTCAATCAAGATTGTAAGCAGCAGCTACTTTAAGCCAAATTTCTAACTTTAAGATTTTTAGATGATTCGATTCTCATTGTATGATATGTTAATATTCTGGGATGGTGTATATTAAAAAAAGGATTTTAATGGATCAGTTCTAAATTGCTTTATCTCATTGATCTATCTATCTATCTATCTCTCTAAAGATCTATTCATTTGCATAGATAATCACAATTACATAATAGTATTATTAATACTTAAAAGTGTAACGAGAGAGCTTTAATAGAGAATTCATTGTTATTGCTAATGCTATTGTAAATTTGACATGCATTCATATATATCCATCAAATGAACAGTTTCGATAGAACATGCATGCATGTGTAATGTATTGATGCGTTCGTTGTTCACGCATTCATCGAATAAATAATAGATCTATTAGAATTCAAGATATAAAGTAAGAACAATATGTGATCTATAATATATGATGTGTGAAGTGCAATGTGTGAATGATGGATAAAGATGTGGATGGATGGATATATGAATGATGCTTTCATTTATACTTTCATGATAGTATATCCGTGTTGGTCATATCCGTGCGTTTTATTTTTATCCAGCAACGTTGAGCATTTTAACAGGCAATATGGTGTTTGTGAGTTGCTAGCTTTTGGTTTGTTTGTTAGAGTATGGTAATGGGATGGATGGATGATAGACTTGAACTTATAATTAGCTGTATGTGTTTATAAATAAACGTGAATAAGAGGTGTGTGCATATGCTAAGCTTGAGATTAGTATCAGGAACAGGCAGGGATTAGGATGGATGGGTGTGCAGGAGATGCTGAAGTGAAGTGAGTAAAGTTATGAAAATGGGACGTGAATTTGAGACTTGCGGCTTAAGCTTACGCATCATAGATTCGCACTACGAACAGCAATTGCTGCTGCTTGTGTTACTGTGATTAGCCAAGAGCCGAGTGGGATTAGCTAACTGAATAAGGACAGAGGATAGATGGGCTGATAGGGGAGGGGGATAAGAGGATGGATGATTTGATTTAAATGGAGCCGAATTTGAGGACGGCAAGAGGAGAGCACATGAGGATAGGGCCGTCCGTCATAGAGGCGAATGAGTTGTTCTTGTGCAGGGAGTGTTGCTGCCACAAATCGGATTTCAGTTCTTGAGAATTATTCGCTAATTAAGCAACAATCGAGTGCATTTACCCAAATTTATATGCCTATATTTCATCCGTACAAGAGAATTTCAGATCAATTTCGCTTGCAGTTGAAGTTGAAGTTAGTAATTAGATAATAAAGGATAATTGAATTTGATGCGATACTGAATCGGTCAAATTTCATCACTCTAGTACTATTATATTATTGCAAATTTATTTATTTCACTGCGCTTCGTTATATCCGAATTTGTGGATCATTATAGTGTGTTTGATTAGATTGTAGTCGGTTTATATTAAGCAGTCATATTTGGATTATTTTGACAATGAGTTTGTGTGAGTGTTTAAATGAAACTTCAAATATAATATTTCTCATAGAATATGGATAAATAAATATTTGGACGTGTGAATAATGGATTATAAAATTAGTTTATTCTATTGTATAATATATGTAGTAATTAATAATTAGTTGTATGTTGATGTGGATAAGACTGATTGAAGTGCCCACCTGGGGTGAACATTCAGTATTAGACGCTTAAGTACATTTTAAAGGTATGCCAGCCAATTCATTCATGCTCTTCTGTCTACAGTGCTTACAATAATGAGATTATTGCTCTTAATTATAATGTTAGTTATAACAGTTATAATATAATCTTTGCTTGTGCTGATAATCAATGTCTAATGTGGTAATATAATACTAATGACAAGTAGAATGCGTATTAGCCTGTGTACGTGAAGGGTGGTACTGGTCAGAACGTGTGAACAATTGGGTGGGTGGATTTTAATGGAAGCGGAAGGGCAGGGGAAGAGATAGCTGATAGTGAATATAAGTTAGGCGGAGATGTGGCTTGTATAGCCAAATTGGGCACGGCATGATTTGGCCGCAAAGGGCATGATGTTGAGCACGCAAATAAGGGTGAATGGTTGGTTGGTTGGGCGTTGGTCAGTTAAACGATCATTTGGGGATAGCAGCTAATGGCTTGGTGAGTAAACGGGAGGTTTTTAGTGATGTTATGTGATGAGATGATTGAGTGTATGTAAAATGTTTATAAGTGATATAATGGACAACTACTTGGAATTAATGTCGTGTCGTATGCTTGTGGCATATGGATTAAGTATGCTTTTGTTAAGATTTTAACGAACGAGCACTTAGTAACGAATATAGAAAATGGGTGGGTGTATACTCTGGAGAAAGTTAAGTGAATCTTATGAAATGATCACTTGTCAAATGGAAGTAGTTTTTATTATTAGTATTTTTATTATTACTATATTGGAAAGTGTTTTCATTGATATTTATGTTACTGTGCCATCATTTAACTAAGAGATAATTTTAATCTTCGACGAGATGCTAGCTCGCTGTATTGAGGAAATTCTGACTTTTGGTTTTAGTCTAGAGAGGCTTAGGCTGAGATATGAGGGAGGCATGAGTGATGAGGTGGATGGTGGGTGGTATGGGCTGATATGAATCCTGATATGAGTGTGGGGCATGGATTAGAGATGAGGAGGCAAAATCAAGCATAGGAGAGCAGGGCAGGTGTGTTATATGGTGGTTGGTGGTTTAGTGAGGAGGTTTTTTATGAAAGCATTTTATTTTATGATAGGGTGGTGGTGTTTCATTTTGAATTTTTTATGAGTTGTCGTCTTTTTATTGGTTTTGATTGTGTTGGGTCAAATAGAGATTGTTAGGTGTATGATAGTAGTGATGAGAGCAGAACGGGATAGATGTGTTATTGAAGATAGTGATTTGATTGTACGGTGGTGTTTGGTTGTGAGGCTGATTCGAATTCGAATGTAATGCGATGGATGGTCGTCTATTGTTATGTTAGAACGGAACAGGGCTTTATTACCATTGTTATTATTCGTTTTAGGATTATTGTGGGTGGTTTTATTTGATATTGTGGTTTTGTCGTATTACGGGTAGTTTTACGGGTAAGAAACGAATGAATTTGATTAGGGGCAATTCGTTTATTATGTGATTAGATTAAAGGGTTGCTTATGGTTTGTTTCGCTTGTAAAAGAATGCCTGCCTATCACTGATTACCGATGCGAGCGAGTTGATTTGAAATGTAATCGCGATAGTAATCACTCACCACTCACCTTGCAGAAAAAGAAGTAATACGGGCGAAGAAATTGAGCGGGCGCATTATTCGGAAATCTTTATTCAGATGGTTTATTGAAGAAAGATTTGCCTGAAGCAGATGATCATCTGAGGAATACAGAGGTGCTTCTTTTCAGAGGTAGCGAGGATGAGATAATAGTAATGATTATAGTGCTTCTGATAAGGTGGAAGACTGAATTGGATTGAATGAAGGCGATACGAAGAATTGGACGACGTCTTGAGGTCGGAGGAGAACTGAAAGCTGCAGCTGCAGCTACAGCTACTGCTACCTGTTTGTGCAGCTACAGCCATACAAAGAGCACGACGACAAAGCATCGTGAATGCGACGAGTCACTCTTATCAGCGCCTTTATCATTATCACCACCACCACCACCAGCAGCAGCGAGTAGTCATTCGATCAGCTCTGGTCAGTGTGTTCATCGCAGATGTGCCAATTTACTGGCATATTTCAAACGAACACTTCGTTTGTGGCTTGCTCGTACCGTACTACTAGTGTTGAAATCAGCCGTCATTATTGATAAACCTTTATATGGTTCTGCTTTTGCCCCTACTGCTACTGCTACTTCTGATACTACTACTAATAATAATAATAATACTGCTACTGCAAAGAGCAAGTTGCATAGTAGTGGTAGAAAGGTGAGTAGTGCAAGTGATCGTTTGAAGTGGAAATGTAAATTTTGTTCGTCTTCTTGTTTTGATCATGACGACGACGACGAGCACTCTGTTACGACGAGTATTGCTAATTTGAATGGTAATAAAATTGACGGTAATATTATTACTGTTTCAACGACGAGTGCAGCGATAAAGAAACGGAAACAAGCAAAGAAATTAAACGGTACGTTGCGGCGATTGTATTCGTTCGATTTCAGTGAACATTAGAATTAATTGATTCGATTAATTTAGAGTGATTGATTCGTTTAAGCACTCATGCGTAAGAACCGTTGATCTGTAAGGATTTATCTGAACCTTATTACCGAGCGAGCAGTTGGTGAAGAGCAGCGAATATTTGAATTATTGGCTGGCTGTCAGACTGATTGGGAAAAGCATTGATTAGGTGATCAGGTTAGGTGATCTGATCAGCAGTGTATAATTTGAGGTGGTGTAGAGATTTTTGATTTGAATGAATGAAATGTGAATGTGAATGATGCACTACTAGAACACATTTAGGACTAGAAAAATAATGCTATTTTCTGGAGTTGGTTGTTTGAATAAACACTTTAGAGGTTACAAGTTGTATGGAAAGATAGTATTTGGATTAAATGGGAATGTTTATTTTAGGGTTTGGAATGCGCATTTTAGATTCATTATTCATTGATTTATTCATTATGTGCTTGCTTGAATTTATCGTTGGTGCGATCGAGAGTGTGTTTCATTGACTTCGTGTAAGCAACCTTACAATTTAATATGCACTCTTCAATTAAAGTTGGCAATAAATAAGTTGTGCATTTGATTTAAACATTTAAACATTTTCGACGACAACTTAACTTACTGCAATACTTTCTTATTTGTAAGTCTTATAATTGTAAGTTATTTTATTCACTAGCATTCATTTCATATCTGCTATCATATACTGACTGCTTTTTGCTAATGGTGCATCATCCAACAACAAATATTATAGATCGTATTTATTTTAGCATAATAGTATACATGTGTAAGTAGTAAGTATTTTATTGTGACTACTTGTACTCTAGTTACTCTTAACTTGTCACACACACATATTTTGCCTTCTGTACTTTTTTATATTCTTGCCTTGTAGCTTATTTTATTCATTACTTATTTCTCTGTATTATTATAGTAAAAATAATTATTATTGTAACTGTTACTATTAGTATTATTATAGGTAGAGTTGTCAATAGCATTATTCTTACACTATTATTTCATTCTCGAGTAAGCAGTAACCAGTTAGTGCAAGCAGTTAAACTGCGACACGCAGATATATGAGTGATTCCTCGTGAAAGTGAAATTCTCCTAATATATAATGAGTGTGCGTTCTCTTAATGCCTCGTCGTGTTTATTTTTTGCTTGTGCAATATAATCCCGATGCATTTATTTATTTCAGACATCTCTATTTAGCAACAAAATCAAAAATATTCCATTATTATGTGCACATACATAAGTATATGACTGGTAGATGTTGTGTTAGGGCTGAATCTATAAGTAGAAAATGACTCGTATTGTTATATTATGTGAACAAGTGATTTCGTTCGGTTTTGATTTGATGTTACATTATTCTGTTTTGATGAGAAGTCGTCATTATGTAATTTGATATGAGCACGTTCATCTTAGACTACTCGGGCAGAGCAATGAAATTTTATAGTATTTTGTAATGAGTGTGTCCTTTTGGCTATTGAATTCATTTCTATTCATTCTGTAATTTCTTCAAACAAATTCTTTGCTGACGACGACATCGCTTTACTTCTTCATTAATATCTAAATTGTTATTATTAGTTTGCTGTGCCTGGCAGCAGTTGGTAAAGGAATGAATGAGTTTTTAGTTAAGGAATGAAACGATTCATTGTGGTTTTACAGTTATATTATGTTAATTTACAGTTAAATGTATAGTGGTGGTAGCCGGTGAGTAGTCGTAGTCAATAGTGGTGTCCTGTGCTGCGTTTAGGGTGATCTGAATTGAGGTAGATGTTTAGTTGATTGACTAGAAGTGGTCTGTTGGGCTGCTGGCTTTTTTATTGTTCACATCAAGAATTAGTTGTGGTTAATATTGTTCGTGTATTATATGTATGGTTTTATTTATTTATTGTAGTTATTATATAGTTAATTAGTTATTATTTCTTTAGTTATTTAGGTAGTTTATTCATTTATTATAGTTAGTTAGTGTTATTATTTGTATGAAGCGAAATTTTTTTGTTTGATCGAAATTGATGAATTTTCATGAATAACTTGTAACGAAGTTGCCTGCAAACTCTACTAATGAGCCGTGATCAGTGATCTAAGTGATAAGCCGTGATCAGTGATCTAAGTGATGAGCCGTGATCAGTGAGCTAAGTGATAAGCCGTGATCAGTGATCTGATCTAGGTTGTTTGGCGAACGCAAAACTTTGTATTGTGTGTGTGTGCAATAAGGCGCTCTGGATTGATTCTGAATCTGACTTGAATTATATTCTTTTAGAAGGCAGTGATCATTATTGATTTATCGATTGCATCAATCAAAGACTGAGTTTGATGATGGGCACGGCAATTTGTTGATGAGTTCAAACAATGCTGACTTCAAGCTGTTCGCTCTTGAAGTTCCATAACTCATCACTGTTCAATCATCACCATAGTACCAACAGTAATATTAATAGTAACAATAATAATAATAATAATAATAGTAATAATAATAATAATAATAATAGTAATAGTAAAACTAAAAGGAAAAAGCCTAAGATATCACTGTTATTTCATACGGATTTTGGTCTATTGTCGCCGCTTATTTCTACAAAAAAACATTCTGTAAGTAATTCTAATTCTAATCCTGATTATTCTAATCATGCCACCTCGAATCGCACTTCTAATAAAAACTACTCTACAAATACTTTGTCTGTTCTCAAATCAATCTCGTCCATTTCTAATCATACAACAACACCAGCAGCAGCGATAACATCTGCATCTACTACTCCAAATTATGAAGCAGCGTTAATTTCACGTAAAATTAACAACAGCCATTCAATAGAGTCAAGCAATCGCAAGCTCATCATTTCATCACCTCATACTAATTGTAAGACTCTGTGAACAGTTTGAAACTCTGAAAACTCCACTAAATAAATTCTTTCACTCCAATGGCAGCAGCAGCAGCAGTTATTTTGTATTTTCTAAGCATTATTTGATGTTCATCTAACTCTTACTTACTTTTAAAGTAAGCAATAACTTTTAAAGTTGTTGTGCAGTTGTAATTAAACTTTAAAAAATGTGGATTACAGATGATATTCGATCGAAGAATGCTGCAACCAAACGGAAGATATCGTTAAATCGTCGGCCAAATCATCAGCCATCTGCACTAGCAACTCATTCACGTCTAAGTAGTGTTGCACCAGTCTTTTTCATACAAGCATCACAAGCGGACGCCACCACCTCATCACCTACAACTGCAAAACGTTTGTATGCTCCTCCTCGAAACTGGGCCGCCACAAAACATTTGCTAAAATTTGGTGCTGATCGTGAGCAAAAGCCTAATGATCGCGATTACCACCCACAACCATTTCGAGATAGCAACAACACGGCTTATAGAAGAGCATCGTCATCGCTAAAAGGCGCTGTAAACGTTCGCTTACAGAGACCAGACGGAGTTCAACTCGGGCTCGGCATTGCTGGTTCGTTGCTTTAGTTTATGTATCTTTTTTTGTTCATTCATTTAGCATTCGTTGATTATTCATTATAGTAATTAGTAATTTATATTAGCGAAGCAATTAATTATATGTGGCGATCATCACATAAAAGAATTAATTGTGCAAGTAATGAGTATGTAATTTTGTGACAATGAGTAAAATTCCAAAAGCAGTGTATGCTGTATACTTGAATAACAAGAAAGAGTTATATTACTTGTTACATGTTTTACTTCTTCTTCTGCTATTAATATACCGAGTGCAAAACAACGATTCAACTTCAATTCAACAAAGTAAGTAAGAGTTATGTGTGCGTATGTGTGTGCGCACGACGGATTGATTTTAGTGTATAACAATAGTATTACTAGTAAAAGTTGTTGTATGTATATGTTGAGAATCAATGAAGATGACGACGTTCTTATTGCTGTTGATCTTACGATTATAATTTTCTTCTTAGAGCTTGGCATCCTTACTTTTTATTAATTAATATACTTGAGTGCTTCCATTCGAGTCTATTTCATCTCGTCTTTTTTCCATGAAACATTATTCAAAAACAGTTTGTTGGATCGTGGCATATGTAGCATCTCCGTTTTATCCTATTCTTCCATTATACGTATGTATGTATGATATCTTTCTTAGTGTGATAATAATTATAATAGTAATAATAATAATAATAATATTCGTAATAATAGTAATATATAATAATAGCAATAACAAGCGTAAAATTTGGCTTCAACGTAATGATTTATTCATAAGCGCATTTCTATACATAAGTATTTTAGACTTGTTTCAATAGAGTTTAGCGAATACTATTTAGCAGCAATTGGTAAAAGGATTATGAATGAAACCAAAATGAGCTAATTCACTATTCA